TTTCCGGATTTCCAAGCATGACTCATGACTCATTTTAGTCGGTACATTGGTTTAACCCAGTAATAAACCGTCACACATCTTTGTTCAAGTGATGGTCTTTTGGACTTACATTTTTGGCAATTCTCCTTTAGAATGTCTCATGCTTTAATAGAAACTGACTGAAAAGTGACCAGTGGTTCAAGCGGAGGCAACTAAGAATATTTTTTTAATGTAGGCAAATCAGGGCGCAACTTCTGGGCTTAGGTGCGAAGAATTCGACACACAATTATTCGGTTGCGGAACATTAACAGCGACGTTTTATAATGTTTGCACCACACAAAGGCGCTGTGGTAGAAGCGGTCGTACTAGTCCGGGAGACAGCGACGGAAAATTTGCACCGATTCCTACAAAGCTGATTTGTTCTCATTCTTATTCTAATGTTTTGTGTAAGTTTTTTCAGAGAATCATACTTTTAATGCCCGAACGTCTTACCGTTAGAACAAAAATGTGGCGACACTAAATATTAATATTAAGGTTTGGTTCTAGTTGGGGTTAATTAGCAAAATGTAATAATTATTGTGATGCAAGTATTTTTTTATATAGTTGTTTTGTTAACTAATTAAAAAAAACAAGTAACAACATTTTCATATTCACGCATAAATTCAACTGAACGCGAATATAGTACCTATCGTGTGAGCACAGGTATCTCATGAAAACCCACATTATCCTTGTTTGCCAATTATATTTTCTATTACTCCACTAACATTTGTCAAGCTCTAAATTGAAGCCTTGCCATGTGTTTGCATGTCTACAAACTGTTAAAAGTCTAATAAAACAACGTCACTGTTGCCTCGTAGAAAGTCATCAATGTTGCCGAAGATTCCATTACGTGCAATGTCCTAGAAACATCTAAATGGTTGCAATCGAATGATCGTTAATAAAATATACTATCAATTGTTTCAATTCAGATAACTGGTTATTGAGGATTGGAAGAGTTGGGAGAAAAGACAATAGTGTGTTACAATATTAATTGTACTTTACCAACTACAATCAGATTGGTATCTGCTAGTGGGCTTTGAAGTGTGACCAAGAACTGTAAACATAGTGTGATAGGTATTCAATGAGACTGTAGAAATAACAGTTAATTATTACCATTTTAATAAATTCCAGATCGTAAACGTTGCCTTTCTTTCAACGTGCGAAATGCAAAATTTGTTGCAAAACAAGTCCATCTAATGAATGCACTCCAATCTAGTGCAACAATTGAATAAATCTCACGATTAACAAAGTATTTTTACTGACAATTAAGGAAATCGTGCTTTAATAATATTTTAATAATTAATTATTTTATAATGATGCGATGATGAAATACTGCGAGTTTGACTATTCACTCACAGCAAGCGTACGTCATTATTTGACTGTTCTATGAATGAAATGAATGATGGCTGTTAGCACTGACATCCACTCAGTGGTCGGTGGAAACTGGCCGAGAAAAGTATAAGGTTTTGAGAAAAACGGCTTTGAAAATGTTGTCAAAACAGTTAGCTTACAGTCAGTAACAAACGGCCAAGCTGTCAGTGTGCGTGGCGAAAGTTACCACTTTTCACGCAGTAAATTGTCATTGTCATGTCATTGTAATGAGTAAAAGTGATTCTTTCGCTATCGAAAACTTTGGCGAATTTACGTACTTTTCACCAGGGATAAAAAAATACATTTTACTCCTAAGCCAGTTGAAAATAAACTAGAACTTAAGGTATAAATAGATAGATTTTGTTTTTAAACGATCTGAACATAAACCCGTTTGCATAGGGCGACTACGTATTAAGTAGTCATAAAGTATACATTGCATTAATCTTTAACACGTTTCTCTTTTAATCTGACTAAAAAATCGCATGACGTCACTTTACTGACGTTTTCACGACGTAATAAAAAGGACGTCATAAAATATTTATTATTTAGTCAAATGACGTACAATTGCCAAATAATCACTTGAAAATCACGTGTGGTTGTTGCTTGGCCAGCGTATAATTTCTTTCAACGTCCTCACCAATGGCAATGGAACTTGTCTTGATCAATTATATACTTTTATATGAACGGAATTAAACACTTTCGTATGAATCGTTTGCCACCCTAAACACGGCAAATGACATAATTTGCAGCGAAAAAGCATACAGTCGCTCTGTGCGCGATGTTATTTGAAGAACGTTTATGGCTGCCAAATGGCTGATGCGTACCACAATTTAACATAAAACCGCGCTAAAAGGAACGCCATCATCGATGCCACTCGAAAAATCAAACTGTTCTTTCTAGTTTCACAAATGTCGTGCTGCTGCCGACAATATGGTCAATATTCTTGTTAAGAGGTTTTCCTCAAACGCCATAGGTTCTCAGATAATTAATAATAAATAATAATGTTTTAGATTGGTCTGATAGGCAATAAAAGTTAAATGAATCACAGCCTCACTGTCTGCCTCACTTTACAGTGTTAATTTTACAAGATTATATACGTATGTTTGGCATTTCTCTAATTATAAACAACACAGACAAATAACGAAAAGGCGATTGATGCCATAAATAAAAGCATTAAAAAACAGACCGCTATACATTGCAAATAAGAGAACATCTTCTAGAGAGAATATTGGCAAAAAATTAAATATATTGCACCATTTTTACATTTGAAGTTTTTACTCGAAAACTAAATTTCCAATCGAAAAACAGTAATTCTTCATAAAATGTTCGGCATATGAACAGGTACCCAATAGCCGGTTTTTGACAAACAGCTTTTAAAAAATGATAAAATGTTTTGAACCAGCAAAAAAACCGAAATATCTGTAAAACCAACAAACTGCATAAAAGGAAAAATATTGCAACTGGATTAGGGTGACGGTTCCCTGTTCCGCCCAAAAAAAGACCGAGGAGTTGGTTTAAATAAAACTTTTCTCAAAGTAACTCGTGCATATGAAACGCCCTGGAGAAGGGAAAAATTGTCGAAAATTCACCTGGTGGCCGGAAAACCCTTAAGATTTAGAGCAATTTTCAAGGATTATAATTTTTTCGACAAAAACTAAGTTTTCAATCGAAAAAAACGTTTCGTTTTTTTGCCAATTTTCAATCCGCTAGCTGCTTTATGAGCGAGTATTTTTCCACATTTAGAGTAAATGAAGCAAAGATGGAGTAAATATGGCCAACGGAATCAGAAAAACCTCAAAAATGCTGAATTGGCAATAAAAAATAACGAAATGGAAGTCAACTTTTGAAATTCGCAAAACCGCTCTGAAGAAACGCTTAAAAACCAGGTACTTGCAGACTATCCTTTAGGCCCTGGATCATTACTCGGAGATGAAAATGACGTTAAACTAGTCTAGTCTAAATTTTTATATAATTATCTTTTATAAGAGTGTTCAGATTTATTTTCCTTAATAAAAATGAGATTTTATATCTTTTATTAGAAATAAATCTTACTGTATCACCCACAATGATTATTTTTTCATTTACTTTTTTAACCATAGTTGACTAGCTATACTACCACAGACAAGGAAGCTGGGCCAAGGATTATTTTAATTACTTTTGCATTTGAGAACATCTCTCCCGGTTTAAGAGGCAAATTCGCGAGTTCAACTACCGATGGTGGCGCTGCAAAACGTGAAATTACTCGTCGAGTAACAGTTGAGACTTGTTTATTTATTGGAGTTGATGACATTTATAACATAAAACACTACTTACACACTTGATCTGTTTCTTATTCTTTCAAAGCTTGCAAAAGTTGATTAGCACAAAACAAACCAAATTACAAGCAGATGTGAACCAATTTTAACAAAACAAGTGTCAAATTACTACTTAACTTGTAGTTAAAATTTTAGCCACCAGGGGGCCTCTGGTCTTTTAAACTAGCGAATAGTCAGGTAAACTGGAAGCATACTACTTTTTCAAGTAACTCCATCAATATAATTTGATAATTTTAAACCTAAAGTTCGTAATGTTAATTTGAAGTGGTGCGACTCTCCCTGCTTAACTATACATATATCACATATTCCATATACAGGGTGTCTCACGGCAGCGTCCACTAAAATATTTCGGGAAGTAATGGAATTTGAATCTCGCCTGTTATTTCATCTGCAAAGAGCTTCTCCGAAAATGCCATCATCCAAATTTGCAGGATTCAAATTGCATTTCTTCCTGAAATATTCTATCGTACGCTGATCCTGAGACACCCCGTAACTGTCTTAGTTCATAATGTCATCCTGTAGATATTTTCTAAACACGCGATGCAAGTCTAGAGAACCACACGACATTAACGTGTTGAGAGGCACTTCTAACGTCCCCAATATCACGTATTTATGACGTTGGTACGAGTTTGTCTCAATCTATGACATGAATTCAATGAAATAATTTATCCATCATTAACACGCATTAATCACGTCTATAAGACGTATTAGTTATGTGAATACGTGTCGGTAGTACAGTCGAATTTAAGAGATTAAACTTCCGCTTTCTAAGCAGGCGCTCTCGGGACCCCAATGTGACGCGTTGGGCCTGTATGCGACAATTTTTTCCTTTTTATGATTTTTCGTTCCTTTACATAACTATCGCTTTTGTCTATTTTGCCATTATATGACCGGAAAAAATAAATTGTGAACATCGCAAGCTGCATGAAAATCATCTGAAAATCAATCAATTTAGGATTTTCCTTTTTCTGACGTTTTTACGTTAATATTTTCGGAACTTATTAACGTAAGTTCTTCTCGGTTTTATCAAAAATGCAATCGGAACACCTTTATATTGTTGAAATAACGTTCTCCTAATGACGTGAGTTCGCCTCCTTCAAGTCACGTTGATTAGACGTCATGTTCATAACCATGTCACAAATTTGACATCATATTTGTGGTTGTCTCGGATAATGACAGAAAGATAATGAAAAATATCTCTAAACCGTTCTAGCAATTGCGTGTTTGGCAACAATGATTATTAACTCCAAGTGAAACTATTCTAAATGCGTTTGCCACATTGCTTAGACGACTTACCCTTGGCCACTGAATACTCGTCAATCCAAGAACACAAACACAGTTCAAGTTTGTATGAATGAACGTTCAAAAATGCCGAGCAAAATTACGTGCAAGCCTCACTTGATGGCACCAGCTGTAAAAAAGCGGGTTCTCGCGTCAGAAGTAGCTCGCCGTACCTCGTACTCCGAGTACTAAAGTGCCGACATCGCGGTGGTTCTTTCATTCAATCAAGGCGCTTGGCACCCCCACTATGCAGCGGGACGATGGGCTTCGTGACGGAACCACTGCACCTAGTGCTAAGTCGGCGCGTTAACTAAATGTCACACCGTCGCAATTCGTTTATTAATGCGAATGTATTCGGGCTATTTCACAATTATTGCACAGAAAAATGGTACCACTCACAATACCAAAGCTGGACCGCACCGTGGCTAAACCACTGCCACTAAGGTTTAAAAATTGGCTTAGATTAGAATTAGGCACTGGAATTGTGCGACATACATTCTGTTTATGTGTGCGAATGTCATTAATTCCATTTTTCTTCATGAATTATGCAATACCATTATATTGCCTTTTCAGGCACTAACTTTTCACATACATACATTCTTTGTGTTAAGTGGCACCTGATGTGTCTTTCAATGGCATGAAACGGTTAATTAATGAAAAGCAATAAAAATGAGGATACTTATTATTTGCCAGGCTGATCCAAAAGGATGAACTTAAGTTCACATTCATTCTGCGGGTCATTTCTTAACATTAGGGAGAAGGCGAAAATGGATCAAGGATGGGGACAAAATGATTAAATTGACGTAATTCTGATCTGTACAGTAACATGCTGTATCAAGAAGACGTGGGTCTTAAGCTACTGGTCCACTGGATACTTTTGTATCGCAACAAGTCGATTGTTGCGCTACATTTGTTGCCGTGCTGTGTTCCCTAGACGGCGAGTTGACACGCTACTTTTGTATACGGAACACTGTATCATGCATCTGTGCTACAAATGTTACGCGGCGCGTGTCCACTAGAATACTTAAGCAGCGCAATAATTTTGTATCTCCCCAGACTTTTCCGTACTCGTTTCAGTCGATCACTTTCGGTTTGAAAATGTCGCGAAAACTTGCTGCTGTTCTAATTGTGTTTACAACTATAAAACAACGAACTTGCTAAAAAGGAAAATATGAGTGTTCGAGTGGATAGCGAGAAGAACTGAACTTGGGGCTAAACAATTAATGAAATAATTACGACATGAAGGTCCTAGATTTTACAAAAATCTTTTACGTCTGTCTGCAGCAGACTTTGATTATATAGGTTGATTCACTGTATGACATTGTTGATATTGAGGTGACTTTGATTATATAGGTTGATTCACAACCTTATGGACACAAAACAGGCGCGTGTAGAGGACCTCAAAACAAGATATTTTGTTAAAATTTTTAACGTAGGCTAATGTTTAGGCCCTTCACCCGTAGGTAAGGCGCCTGGTTGTAAAAATCTACAGGGTGCTCTATTTTCTATAGACATTCCCCCTTTTACCTCCATCCCCGAGATTTTCTGTGGTGCGCCACTGACTTTGACCGAACACATTTTTGCATATATTGTTCAATTTAAGAATTTTCTGATCTCTTTCAGTTTTTTCATTTTCACTTCTTTCGCTAAAAGATTCAAGTGCATGTTGAAGTTAAAATAGGGATGGCTGACGAGTTAACTAATTTATTTTTTTTACTTTAATGTAATTTACAATAAGTGAGGTAAAAGACGCAAAAAAATTATAAGAAAATTCATGGAAAATCAACCAGGACATGGACTACATGGACTTATATTTGTGCAAATAATAACCGAAAATTTAAAAAATTGTTCCGTTGAAGTGAGTGGCGAACCACAAAAAAGTTCGGGG